CTATAAACACCTTCACCAGGCATACTCTTTATGCTAAAGATCCATTTGCAGTTTATGATCTTCATATTTATTTCTCTTTGAACGAGAGTCCATACTTTATGCTTGTTAATAGAGTAAAGTTCTTCTTTCATTGCTACGAGCCATTCATATTTATTCTCGCAGTTAATCGCCTCCTCATAATTTTCGGGAATACGTTCTTCTGGTTCTAATATAAAATTCACGTTATTTCTTTCTTTTATTCTTTGCGAACGTCGAACGCCTTGTTCAAGCAATTTCATTTCTCCTTCTCTCAGTTTTGCTCTGTTTTTCCTCTAAAACTTTTTGTGTATCTCCCTTTTTGCGACCTGACCTTACAATTCTTTTTTCGTTAGGTTCGTCTAGCGTGGGAATCGTTTCTTCATTTAGTTCCGAGGTTTCTGGACGCGTCCAAAGGTCGATTTCAATATCATTTTCCTCTTCCTTTTTATATGAAAAATGGTCGTAATTTGTGTCTTCTTGAAGATTTTTTGCATAATCAATTCTTTTCTCATTTTCGACAAATTTTACTGATCTTACTTCTTCTATTTTCTTAGTGATTATGTCATACACTCGATAAGCCTTTGTTTTCAGAGAATAGCCTACAAAAATACCTTTTCGACTTTTAGGCATAAATTTACTTCTATGTTGTTGTGTAATGGGCCAAAACGCCAAACAACCGAATATTCTGAAATGTCGAATGGAGGGTTTTCTTTCTTTCCATTTCTCCATTGGTGTATCAAGCTTGATTGACCTATGTGGAGTACAGTTTTTGACATATGATGCAGTAGCGACTGCCTCCGCCCAGAAAGCCATGGGTAATCCTGAATCAAACAATAATGTCCTTGCTGTTTCAATTAGGGTTCGGTTTACTCTCTCCGCAACTCCGTTACTTTGTGGCGAGTAGGTGGTGGAGAGTTGGTGGTGTATTCCATTTTTAATTGAGAAATTCTTGAATCTGTGATTAGTGAACTCTGTGCCATTATCAGTTCGCACATCCTTTATTTTCAGGTTTAGCTCATTTTCCACTCTTGCCTTAAATTCTTCAAACTAACCCAAAGTTTCATCTTTGTTTTTCAGAAAGTAGACAAAGGTTCTTCGGCTGAAGTCATCAACCAGAACAAAAAAGTATTTTGATCCACCTAGAGATTGGTATGGCATTGGACCACACAAATCCATATGCACCAATTCAAGGGGTTTGGTTGTACAGTTGGTGGTAACGGGATGGTAAGGTTGTCGAGTCAATTTACCCATTATACAAGCTTCACATTCTGGCAAGTTCTTAAATTTAACATTAAACCCCAATACCACATTCCGTTGAATTATCTCTTTCATGTACGCTTCGTTCAAATGATTCAGTCTTCTATGCCACAATCTGATATTGTCATTTGAGAAATCATCTTTTGTGGTCATGACATTCTCCGTCTTTTCCGAGTATTCATCTCTGGACCTTGTTTCCATTACATACATCATATCCTGGATTTGAGCCTCTACAATTAAATCATCCTGTTCATTGTAAATCTTTGCTCCATCTCTATTGAAAATTACAGTATTTCCTTTGTTAGTTAATTCGTATATTGATAAAAGATTAAACCTTAAGTTAGGTACATGCAGAACTCCTTTATAATTTGAACATTTTCAATTCCGTTTTCGGTACAAGTAGAAACCTTGATATCACCTTTAGCTGTAGCATGTGTAACTTTACCTTCTTCTGCCAAATTTATCTCACTTTCATAAGGCATTACATTTTCCATCCAATCCAAGTGTGGGGATAAGTGCGTAGTACACCCTGAGTCAAGACACCAGGTTTGTATCTGACTATAATTATTTGAGGAGTTTTCAAAAACTCGATCTGTGCTGGTATTGAAAATTTGTTCCGCAGGCTTGCTTGAGACGGTATTCGCATTATTTCTGAAATTTTGTTTGTTATAGTTCGTATTTGAGAGAATTTGCATTTCTTTTCCCATGTTGTTCTTGAGTTCGCTTATTTTTGAACCAGCAATCTTTAGCTAAATGTCCTTTTTTATGGCAAACAAAACACTCCTTTTGTCGATTCTGTTGATAGTGATTTCTTCCGTCTTTACTTCTGTAAGCCTGTTCATTTTCATCAGAATGACTCCCATTCATCTTAGAATTCTCCCGATTCTCTTCCTCTCTAAGCTCTCTAAGTGACTGCCGAATTTCATCAAGAGTTAATTCTCTTCTAGTTCTCAGTACAACAGCGATCTTTTCCAATCTTGGATGGATACCTCGCACAATATGAAACGCTAGTTCTCTTTGGGATATTTGGTGTCCGAGTGAAGAACTTTGAGAGGCAATATTTTTGGCTCTAGCCATATATTCACTTATGGATTCATTATTTTCCATCTTGATATTCTTAAGTTCAAGTCCAATATCAATGATCTTATCTTCTAGGTTGCCCGTGTAGATTTTCTTTAATTCATCCCATACTTTATTTGCTTTAGTTTCATCTAGAAACATTCCTGCTTGTTCATCTGATAGAGAGTTGTAACTATAATTCCAAAGGCTTCGTTATTCTTTTCACTCCATATTTGCCAAGCGACTTCATCTTTTATATCAGGCTCGGGATCCGAAATTACGCATTTAAATAATTTCTTTCCACGTAAAAGTGCTCCGACTTTTAAAGCCCAAATCGGATAATTTGTTCCAGTTAAAGGTTCAATTCTTGTCGTTGGCGAAAAATTGCAATCCATTTTAGCCTTGTTTTTCAACTTTTAAAAATTAAACAATATAGTTTAAAGGTAGTTTATAATTCAAAAATGTTTTTTTTTTCAATCCTTCTATTTAAAACTTTCTTTTATCAATATAATTCTAATTCCATTGAAACATATTTCAAAATTTACATACGTTGATGCAGAAGAGATCTTTGTTTACCGATTAGAATAAACGTATAAAACTTCTGATAGAATATTTTCGCTTTTTCTCAAGTTTTAAATTGAACCACGCTCTGCTACCATAAATTGTAGTATTTTAAATCATTACAACTCTCTTTAAAGCAACAAAAGAATTATTCATTGCATTTAGCAAGAAAAGAAAAAAAACTAGGAATGCCAAACAAAACCTTTTTAGGTTAATCAACCTGCAAACACCTACCGGTTAGTTCCTATTCAAAATCTAGCTTTCACACAGAGTATTGAAAAATAAAATACGACACTATACAACTTCAAATTATCTAAGTCGTTTATATTTAACCGAGTTTTTGATACGTTGTCGTAACTCCATATTTATGAAAATTTCCTATTTCGAATCTATTGTTTAGTTTGCGATGTCGAAAAGTTGGAACTCTGTAGAAAGACAGTGGTTTCCGTAAAAATATATTGCGATTAAATTTGGTGCTTCTCCAAGTACGGTTTCAACATAATCGTTTTGAAGAAGGAATTTTCCTTCATAAAATCCTTGACATCGTCGAAGGAGTAATAGCTCCAGAATAAATATATTTTGTAAGATATTTTCAGACAAAACAGATTTATATTGAGAAGTCTGGAAAAACAAGCAGAAATGGGACACGATAAGCACTCTAAAAGTGACGGCAGTTTTTGGAGCAAAACGTCGAGGTGTTCACTCCTACCACAATGTCCCTGGTGATGTCTTTCATGGACGAATAAGAGTGAAAATGTTAGAGTAAATCTTGTCAATTTTTTTAGGCTACATGACATGATTTTTTACGTAAGTATGAAGAAATGTGAAAACTATATAAATATTGTGACCAAGTAATAATTTAATAATTTTATTATTTTTAATTCATAGAATAAATAAGAGATGATATTAATGTGAAAAAAAGAACAAATTACTAATTCTCTCACAATTATCTATTAAGTTATCATATATGTTCCATACCTTATATGGATTAACAATGTTCCTTAGCTGTAAATAATTAATTATTAAGTGTCGTTTAGACGTTTTTACAATTATTTTGCATATCTCCTTAAATATATAACGACCAATTGAAGTATTGAATGTGAATTAGAAATCGGGTCCATTTCCATATATATATTTAAAAAAATATTATTCTAATAATTTTTATCTAAAATAAATCAACACACTTTTTGTAATCCTTATATATATCTATAAAAATGAAATCCAAAATCGATGTTTGTTATCGCGTTGCGCAAATTCTACAGAATAAATCATTATGAAATTTCGCATGTAGGTAGCTGAAGATTTCGTTTAACATATAGGCTATTCAAGAAATTAAAAGGTTAATGTGATTTTATTTTAAACTAGACGAATGGCCCGGGCAACACCCGGGTTTTACCCGAGTGCGTATATATTTTAAAAACGTTTTAATTCAAATACTATTCGTTATAATTATAAATTGGCGCCATGGATGTCACTCTTGTGAAACGTCCCGTTCCAAACTGTGTGTTTTTAAAATGTTTTAATTAAAATACTATTCGTTACAATTATAAATTGGCGCCGTGGATGTCTCTCTTGTGAAACGTCCCGCCCCAAACTGTTTGTGTCTTGAAAATATAAAAATAAAAATGTGAATTTTCATAAAGATTTCATCATGTCGATTTTTTTTTTTTTTGCATTTCACCTACTAAATCGATAGAGATAATTACATTTGCAACATGAACTTAGGTATATTGACTAAATAGAAAACTGCATAGTAATAAAGATCATTTTTAAAAGGCACCATATCGTTTTTTTTTTCAATAAAATCGAAACAAAAAAAATTCACAAAAAAATGAGCCTATAACTTTCCGCAAGGTTCTAAATGGTCACACGGCCAGTGAATATATAAGTAAATAGATAAATATATATATATATATTCTAAACTGCGGTAAAAGTTTTTTGAATGAACCCATATCATAAATATGCAATGAAAATAACAATTAAAAATTACTAAAGCAATTTTTTTAATTAAGATATTTGCATTGCAGAAAAATAGATGTTTTGTTAGTAGAAAATTAAAAGGAAATATTTAATTTTACAGAATGTTCTTATAGACAATATTTTTTGTGAATACTTAGCCTAGTGGTCATGGCATCTACCCGGTAAGCGGAAGGTCGTGGGTTCGATTCCCATCCCTTGACACTTTTTTTATTTATCCATTCTGACCAAAATCTATCCGTGAACTTCACACAGTGAACTTCACACAGACAGAATAAGGCAATTATATAAGTAGATATAAAACCAAAAAGCGTTTGTTCCAGCCTTTTACCGCTTGAGCGCAGCACTGGTCGCGACGATAAATGAATTTGATTGGTTAATAATTTACACGTGGTTTGTTTACACGATGAATGTTAGTTTGTTTACACGATTAAGGTTTTTGAAAGGTAATATTATCCAATCGCCGTGAAACATTAGGAAGTTATATATTCACTATACTACTGGGAAGGTTTCAGGTTTGAATTTGATTTGAAATAAATATTTTTTGCAATTTTATTTGCAAATTTTCTACTTTCACTCGCAAGCAGCGCCTCTGGCGGTTTCTGGTGAAATTATATTTATAAATTATAACAATGCTTAAAATAGGTTCCAAGTATAATAAATTTAATTTGAGAAATCAGTAATATAATATTCCAACGACGTGAAAAAAACTTGGCATTTCAATATTAATATATATTTAAAGAAATATTGTAACGTATTTGTGTTTATGTTAAAATGTTTCAATGTTAAAATATATTTTTACGTTGTTAATTTAATTTGTTGTTGTTTAATAATATTGAAGATGAAAATTACATTGTTGTTGTGGTTTATTATCGTTTGTTTATATAAAAAAAATACATTGTATGTGATGATAATAACAAAAATGAATTTTTAAATTAATATATATAATTCATTGAGAAAAAAAGAAATAGTTAATTATCAAATTCACAAAAGCGACAATATCTTATTTCAAATATGATAAATGTTTTTAAAATATTTGGCGTTTCAAAAATATATTTAAACGCATATAACAATATTTATATTTATAAACGTTTATAAATCAATATAAAGGTGGATTGGATGTATTCTAGAATCGTTTTAACAAATGTTCGTTAGGCAAACTTTTACTCTGATAAAACCGGGCGAAGCCGGGTAGATTCGCTAAATACAGTTATTTACAAATCTTCGTTTGTGGCAAGATACTATTCCTTCAACTTCAAATTATCGAGTGGACCAATTATTACTGATTTTTTTCAACTTTTCGAGTATTTTTCAAGGGACCGGAAAAATTTTCAAATTATCGAGAGTATAGACAAGTATAGATTCAGTAGGGATTGGATGTTTGCCAGAATCGTTTTAACAAATGTTTAACAAAGTTTTACTCGGGTAAAAATCCGGCGAAGCCGGGAACATATATATATGTTTGTCGGCTATGCACGCTCTCAATATGTAACGAATCTCGCTGAAATTTGAACTGGACAGAGAGATAAATCTGGAAGAATTTTTTGTCGCACTTTTAAGCAAGAAAAATTATAATTAACCAACTACCGAGCAACAATATTTTTTTAGTCAGAAATGATGATGACGATATTACGGTATCATGCTTGATTGACATAAACAAAATTCTTTAGGGGAATATTCACTAAATAGACCACGGGCGAAGCCAGATAATTCTACCAGCGAAACATTCACTCGAGCAGAAAACACACGAAGCCAGGTCATCTCTAGATATAAAATACTAGCCGAATGACCCGGGCAACGCCCGTGTTTTACCCGATTGAATGTTTTGATTCAAATACTATTTGTTACAATTATAATTTGGCGCCTTAAATAAATGCATATGTTAGTTAATAACTATAGCCATTGTGCTTTATCTGTCTATGTACTGTTGGCTTCCGTAGGCGTCTATTACTGGGAAAAAGAAAGAGAGGATTCCATTTGGTTATTAACTAATATAGGCATTTATTTAAGGAGCGACCCGCTCCAACACAATAGTTACAAAAATGGGGGGGGGGGGCATGATGGGGGTGAGGGGGCAAAGGTGGTGTGATCGTAGCCGACCAATAGGAGGGCGCCATTCCAAAAAGAAAGCAAACCGTGACAGAGGCGACGAAGAATGACGCTCGTAACTGTATATAGAATAGTTTCTCGGCCTTTTGGTTAAGGTCATGTATTATATCTCTAGATATTTTTATTTATATATATCTTTTCAAAAACCTATACAGTTGAGTGAGTGGTTATGTTTGTTCGAAATATATTTTATATCCTTCCTTCCTTTCCTTCCTTTATATCTATAAAAATAATATCCGAAACGGTTGTTTGTTATCGCGTTGCGCAAAATCTACAGAATCAATCATTATGAAATTTCGCATGCAGGTAGCTAAAGATTTCATTTAACATATAGGTTATTAAAAAAACTGAAAGGTTAATGTGCTTTTTTTTTTTAAATGTAAAACCAAAAAGCGTGAGTTCCAGCTTTTTAACTCTTGGCGCAGCACTGGTCGCGATAATAAATGAATTTGATTGGTTAATAATTTAACTTGTAGTTTGTTTACACGATGAATGTTAGTTTGTTTACACGATGAATGTTTTTAAAAAGGTAAGATTATCCAATCGCCTTTAAACTTCAGGAAGTTATATTTACTATACTACTGGGAAGGTTTCTGGTTTGAATTTGATTTGAAATAAATATTATTTGCAATTTTATTTGAAATTTTTCTACTTTCACTCGCAAGCAGCGCCTCTCGCGGCGTCTGGTGAAATTACATTTATAATTTGAAAAAATGCTCAAATGTGTTCCAAATATAATAAATTAAATATTTATTTGGATGATTTAGTAATATAATATTCAATGACGTTGTAAAGAAACTTAGCATTTCAATATTAATTAATATTTGAAGAAAATATATATTATTTAAAATTTAATAAATGTTTTCAGAAAAATTATGTGTTTCAAAAATATATTTAAACGAATATAACAATATTTTATATGCTTATCCTTTGATCTATAAAAATGAAATCCAAAATCGATGTTTGTTATCGCGTTGCGCAAAACCTACAGAATCAATCATTAAGAAATTTCGCATGTAGGTAGCTGAAGATTTCGTATAACATATAGGATATTTAAAAAACTAAAAAGGTTAATGTGCTTTTTTAAAAATGTAAAACCAAAAAGCGTTAATTCCTGCCTTTTACCGCTTGGCGCCCCACTGGTCGCGACAATGAATAAATGAATTTGATTGTTTAATAATTTTACACGTAGTTTGTTAATTTGTTTACACGTGAATGTTTTTAAAATGAAAGATTATCCAATCGCCGTGAAACTTTAGGAAGGTATATATTTACTATACTACTGGGAAGGTTTCTGGTTTGAATTTGATTTGAAATAAATATTATATGCAATTTTATTTGCAAATTTTCGAAATTTGCTAATTTTGTGGCCTCCTTCGTTGTGGTCATCCTGTCGACTCTTCTGTGATAAGGTCCTGTCGACTTATCTGTGATGAGATATCCTGTCGACTCTCGCTATAGCTTTGGTAACCGAGGGTCAAACCAGTAGTAACCGAGAGGGACAGTCAGGGCGTTGAGAGTTTTCCAGTACCTCTCTGCACCTTGGAAGACCTTTAAAAGTTCTCACAGAGTACAGGCAGTCGTGGTCGAGGCAGAGTGGAAAGCTTGGTAATGTCCACACACAAAAAACGAAGAGACACAGTTGTAGTAGGAAAGTTCCATGAACAGATAGGAGTCGAGCTAAGAGCAAGATGGAGTTAGAGGAATCTTACTGTTTTACATGGTCGATGAGGTGGTCCTGGGTACAACCGACAAGGGCACACGCCGATGGTGAAGTGCCTGTAATTTCGGCTAAAACCGAGGTTTTTTTATACCTTTGCAGAGGGGGGAGACATGCGAGAACTTGGACTTTGAACGGGTCCAAAGTGCACGGGGTGGCTGCGGCATCCTGCACCCTTTGACCTTGATGGCAACGACTTGCCAAATTCCTCTTTAGGGTTGTTGGATTTCTCTCTCGATTTTAGACGTTTTTGAACTTCTCAATCTTTCTTTAACTCAGCTCTTAATCTATTACATAGTTTTATTTATTCATCCTCAGTTTGTACAAAGTACATTACATATGGTGATGCAATGACACATGTCAATCATGCGTATAATTATTCATAGATGTGTTTCTATATACAACATGACAATATTGTTATAAGTATTATACAATATAGGGTTGTTGGTTTAAATTACCATAGATGGGCCCCGGGAGTGAAAGGGTTTATCCGGGTTTAAACGGGTAAAGCTACTCTAACACAGGTAAGTATTCAAAATTTATTTTAATTAATTTTAACTGTGAGGGTTAAAAAGGCCTGCATCAAGATGTTTTGTTTGGATATATCTGAAAATTATAAAAAAAATAAAACTTATGTTTAATATAAAAGTTATGCTATTCAATATAAAAGAGAAATTTAGATAAAAACTTTGTTTGATAAAAAAATAATGATGATAAAAATAAAAAGGGTTAGGGGTTAAAGAATATGCAATTGTAAGTATTACACAGACAACCATATACTTAGATCCAGGTGCAAAGCGAGGATATAGACTTGAGCGTCTTCCTAGGCAATGTTTCACCTGTGATCCTGTATAAGATTACAGTGCTTTGTCACAATTGTAGGGTTATTGGGTTGAAAAGTTGTTGAAGAAAAGGTTGTTTATTAATATGATTGAAAGGGGTGAAATGGAGCCATGCGATAAGTAGAATTGTTATATCGATAGTAGGTGGTCTGACTTGACTTAAAATCATTGATTGATTGTGGTCCGCTAGAGCTAAAGAAATTGAGAGTTGTGAACGCTTTGTGCATGCGTTGGTGATTGTGCTCTACGGATGATTGAAATAAACTTTTGAAACGTGTTCAAGCCAGAAGTTGGGATGTTTAAATCTGGGGAACTGAGTTCAAAGAGTTTGTTGAAATTACAAAAAAAAAATTGTCAAGCAGTACTATCGTTTTTCTACTTTGATGTGAAGCAATGGCGGAGAAAGATAGTAGTGTAAAGTACACTGAAGAGGTTAGAGAAATAGATTGTTGTATGCCCGATAGTTAATGATAAACATGGTTATATTATATAAGGTGTGAAAAAAAAATAAAATGAATAAAAATATAGAAATACC